GAAAGAGTGACACTTTCTTGAATATTTTTTCATCAAAGTATTTTATTCTAGAAAGTAAGATATCATGCTAGAAAATCAGCTATCCAGTATAGAAGTTAGTTTCTTCCATGACAAATTGGAACAAATATGTGTGAAGCCGAATATAAAGTCTTGCTAGATCTTATTTATTATATATTAATACTGGCATAAAATAACTGAACTTTAATTGGGTCAGCTTAGCAATTATATAATTCAAACTGATCATTTTTTAAAAAAGTATAGATAAACAACATACTAAGAAAAACAGTATCACATAAAAGGTAATTAGCAGTCCTTTATTATTCTGGTCAATTACAACTTGAAGAAATGATATGCATTTTATATTTGTCACATCACATTTATTAAATCGATCATATAGTATGAAAAGAAATATCTTAATTTTTTAAAAAAACATATGTCAGGATTAAAAGGTATTCCTTTGTCACTAGAAAAATATGTTTTAAATAGAATAAATCCTACTTTGAAAAATTATAAAATGTAGCCACAGAAATATATTTTGTCATGTACAATAAACGTTTAAATAAATATAAAAATAAAATATTAATGGATTAGAATAGCATCTATACACTAATGATGGACCATTTATTCTTTTAATTGGGAAGAAAAAAATAGTTCATTTAGAATATTTTAAAGTCATTTTGTGTGTCTACCACTTACAACATAACTCTACACAATACATTTTTTCTTATACGCACACCCTGAAGAGAATAAATTCATAATTTAACCATTGAACTGGCTAAAAAGGCCATTGTTTGTGCTGTTTTAACTGACTAATTCTGTAATTTAAAAGTAAAACTAAGAATTGATGCTAAATTTTTTAAAAAAGTTTCAGTAACAAAGATTTGATGTCTCTCTGCCCCCCAAATTTGCAAGTACTACTTAACTATTGTTAAATTATTTAGTCTTCTGAATTTCATACTATGTACAAACTTCATGAGGTCATTTGCCATGTATGAAAATACACACAAACAATGCCACGACTTTCTAAAATTCAGTAATTCAATTAAAAAACAAGTGGAGGGGAAAAGACGTTGATGAGAGGAAGGCAGGTTAACTAAAGAGATGATAAAGTAAGATGGCACAAATCCTTTAGGGGAGAGGAGTCAGATAACTACATAAATAAACATGACTCAAGCCAGAATGTAAATGCTCCTCTATGAGAAGCACATCTAAAATATTCAGGAATAAGAGATCACAACTGATTGAATCAAACCAAACAGTTTCATACAAGTAGCGGTACATTAACAATACTGAAAACGTAGTTCAGTATATATACATGGAAGGAGCGCCAAATGGAAGGATGAACGAGGCACCATCTGAAAAGCTAGGGTACATCACAGAGATGTCAGCTTAGGTTTGCTCCTTCTAGCTGCATACAGCCATTTCATAGTTAAGCTGTCAGGGTATTTATGAATTTATCAATAATTTCATTTTAAAGTTTCTTTAGCTAACGAAGACATCAACCTTTCTAGCAAGCCCTACGTTTATAATTCTAGTTCGCACACAATTTACTAAAGAACCAGATATGAGGGTATTGTATTTTAATATTTCTACTTGTGTAAATACATCAATATATAATTCTAAATTAGAGATTTACCATGGTTACCGATGAATTAATATCGTAACAGTCAAAAGCACAAACACATTTGTGTAGCTAAAGAACAAATGGAAATTCTAAAATGAATTTAAAAAGTCAATGGTTCTACCTTCTAACATTATTATTTTAGGGGCTGTGAGGAGACCCACATGGCAAGGTTTCAGGTTCACTTCTGTAGGTCTCCGTGAGTATGCCAACATGGGCCCATGATTCAGGACTGGCCAAAGCTGGGGGTTAAATGCATCATCAAGAACCCATTGGGTTCTGTCTGTCTGTCTGTCTCACTCATGGAAGAAGTAAATAAACTTAAAAATGGGTTTTTAAAATTATTTACTATAAAATATATAAGAATGTGTTCTTAGGCTGCATCACTATGCTTAACTTTATAAAAGCAGAAGCTAATTTAGTTTCTAAAATAATTTCTCCAGTCCCATTTCTTATCTGAACCTCTTTGGAATTCAAATAACTAGTCAAATGGATAGTCATTACTTTCTTACTAAAAGTAAGCGTAATTCAAAGATATTTCCTTCACTTTAGGAAAACAACATTACAATTGATTTATCATTTATGATAGTCTGAATCCACAGTAATGAACAATGAATGTATCTAATATAAAATGTTTCAATGTACTATATAGTACAGGCAAACCTTCCTTTCACATTGACTATTTCAACTCCTTCTTTTTTAAAGAAAATATAATCCAGGTGAGTCTTATTATTCTTTATTACTGTATTTTCCATGGAATGGAAATCCTTATTTTTCTTACCAGCCAACTTGAAATATAGCATGTAAATATCTTGGTGCAAGAAATAACATAAATGCTTCCCAAAAGCACACACTAAGAAAATTCTAAATATCTTCCAAAAGATGGGTGAAAAGACCGAGGGAGGGAAGAACGAAGGAATAGATTAAGATTACTTAAAAAGAACTAGATTGGGCCAACTGGTAACATGGAGATTAAGATCCACTGCTGGAATTTACAAGTATCTCAACAGCATCCTGTCACATAGGCCAACACAGGTAGAAGGGTTCAAAAGTGACAGACAAGATGTTGTATAATCAAAGTATCAGCTAAAAGAACAAAGATTTGGATTAATGCATTTATAACATGGTAGCTTCCACATACTTTACAGATTTAAAAACTCCAATGACAATAGTTTTGAGAAAAGATATTACAGCACATTTTAATTTTGCTTCATGTGCACCATTTGAATATTTTGACTGTAATATTGAGATGTGTTTATATAAATCATTTCCCATACAAACTACAGCATTATAAAATTCTCACCAAAGTATTTCTGTTCATACATCAAGTTATTTGTACTGCTTTCCAAATAGCATTTTATTGCTTGAACTTGTAATCGTTAAGGTCATATTACAAATCTTACATCAGGGGCTAGCAAGTAGCATGGAGGTTTAGGTACTGGATCCCACATAGCCAACTCTGTGGTTCAAGTCTCAGACCCAGGCACTTGAAAAATCACACTATGTGCATGTGCGTGCATGCCCAAAAGATTCCAGGAGAAAGAAGGAGACAGGATTGTGGCACGGCCATCCCTCCTGGAGAGTGATTTTTCACTTTCCCTCTTTCTCTCTCTCTTTGTCCAGCAAGTACACGCGCCCTATGACAAAAACGCAAAACAAAACAAAACAAAACAGAAATCTTACATCAAAAACAAACAACATATTTCTTTAGTGTTTATTGACCACTGAATGCTTCAACATGAACATATACACCCAAAAGCTGTGTTTAAAATTAAATTTCCTATTAAATTAAACAAACAAGAATGACATTAAAACAGGTCAGAAAGAAGCCACTCAGATTATGTTGACAATAGCACCACATCTCCCACGGTTGTTTCTGAGTCCTGACTGTGGTTAGAGCTGATCCCAGTGTCAGAGTCTGTGTCATTTGTATATGTGCTAAATACTCTTTGAGTGAAAGGAGGAACCTCCCCACTGCCTTTGGCAACCTCGGATTCCTTCCCTCTGTTATCCTTTAACTGGTCTCCATCTTTGTTGCTAACGTGAAGTGAATTGAACTCCTTAGCCAGGAGTTCATATTCTTTTGCTTTCATCTGAAGCAATGAGTCACTGTATTTAATCTCTTTCTGGATTCCACTCAGATGAGAGTGGATTTTCAAACCAGTTTTCATGCTCTTTTCTAAATCACTCCTAACGCTTTCTAAATTACAACTTTCCAGTTCACTTGCAGCTGCCCCTTCTGCATCTTCATTTATTTCAATACACACATCTTTCACCTCTTTTTCTATTTCAGCAGAGAGCTTATCAATGAGCATTCTGTAATATTTTAGTCGTTCTTCCAGCTGAACAATACCATCACTTTCACTCAGGTCTTCCAGAATCTGGCTTTCCTCATACTCCAAGTCTAACTTCTGTTCGCCTTCACTGGAACTTGGCATTAAGTATGCATCCTGGACATAATTTTCCCCATTATTTTCTACCCGATCAAGGTGGAACTTAGCCTCACATTTTTCAATTTCCAGATCCAGTTCTTTCATTCTCTTGACTTGCTGATGAATCGTATGATCCTGGGAAATAATCAGGTGAACTAACGTCTCCATATTGTCTCGATCATGGGAAACCGTGTCCTGCTTAATTTTAGCCAGTTTCCGGAACGTTTTTCTGACTATTCTTTTTTGTTTATCTGGTGGTAATGTCTTCATGTAATTTGCTGGGCTGAGCTCCCACAGTTTTTCTGTATTTTGCACTAGTTTGGCTTCCGCTGTCCGCCACAAGGGAATGGGAAGGAAAGCATCTGCTTTAACTAGAACAAATTGCATGTTGGGCTGCTCATCTCCCCATGCTTTCCAGAGCTTCAGGATTCTAGTTAGTGGTGGAAGCACCCGTTCTGAGCCTCTCCACTTCTCTATGATGCAATAATCGTTGGGCTTCCCTAGAAGAAAACGTTTCTCTCCAAAGGTAGTCTCGTGTTCCTCCAGCAAAGCCTGGATGACGTCAGCAGAGGTGGTGCGCTTAGTTAACCCACAGACAATCTTCTCCTCTTGGCAAACCCAAACCACAATTTCCTTCTCTTCTGAATCCATGTCTTTAGTTGGAGATCTGAAAGAAAAACAAAACACATTATATTTCTGTCATCACCTGTGTAAACTCAGAAAGGTGGTTTAACGTTAATACCCTTCCTAGATTTTACCCGTAATGAGAGATGTGCTCTGTGATTGAGGCTCCATAAGAATCAGGAGATTTAATGCAAAAAGTGAACATGGAAAGTATCTTAATTTCTTTATTTCTTGGGGTACTTTGGAAAGTGCAAATTGTCACTGAAGACGAAGGAAGCTATTTTAATTTCTCTTTAGAAGTTAGCCACAGGACTGCTAACATCGAGACAATATTCAAAGAGGAGATGAGTACGAGGAGGTTAAATAAGACCATTTTTGCTGGAGCCTTATGGCTAGAGAAGGGCTCTGGAAAGATAAGTAGGAATGGTGAGTGATATTGGAGTCATAGGGTCAAGAATAGTTAAACATTGAAAATAGTCATTCATTCAGCAAGTGTTTATTATATGCCAATGATGTGCCAGACATGTCTGAAGATACTAAGAACACAAAAAGAAACAAGACAAGTACATAGACATGAATGTGATACTAATAAAAGATCAGTATTAAATGCTAGGAAGAAAAGTAAATGGGTGACGGGATAGAAAAACACTTGGAAGAAAGGGAGGTCTATTTTATTGGGTTGTCGGAAAAATCATGATGCATTTTTGCATAGAAAAAATATGTCGAAGGAAGCTATTTTAATTTCTCTTTAGAAGTTAGCCACAGGACTGCTAACATCGAGACAATATTCAAAGAGGAGATGAGTACGAGGAGGTTAAATAAGACCATTTTTGCTGGAGCCTTATGGCTAGAGAAGGGCTCTGGAAAGATAAGTAGGAATGGTGAGTGATATTGGAGTCATAGGGTCAAGAATAGTTAAACATTGAAAATAGTCATTCATTCAGCAAGTGTTTATTATATGCCAATGATGTGCCAGACATGTCTGAAGATACTAAGAACACAAAAAGAAACAAGACAAGTACATAGACATGAATGTGATACTAATAAAAGATCAGTATTAAATGCTAGGAAGAAAAGTAAATGGGTGACGGGATAGAAAAACACTTGGAAGAAAGGGAGGTCTATTTTATTGGGTTGTCGGAAAAGTCATGATGCATTTTTGCATAGAAAAAAATATGTCATGACTTTTCTGACAACCCAATATTTAGAGTGGTTAGTGGAGACCTCTCTAGGAAGGTGAGATTTGAATGAGGACATAAATGACCCAAAGGAGGCAGTCAGAAACCTAAAGGAAGAATTCCAGGAAGATTGACTGTAAGAATCATCAAGTATGTTCCAGGGACAGAATGAATATGAATGAACTTAAAGGCTGAAGATAGTGGACATTGGAGTTGCTTCTGGAAGAGGAGGTCAAATGATAGGCAATAGAGGTTGATGACAAAGGTCCTTGCAGACCATGATAGAGCATTTGGATTTTGTTCCAATTTTAATGGGATGCTATTGGAAAGTTTTAAACTGAGGAGCGATATGATCTAATTTATAATTTGCCTCCATCTGGCTTCTCTTTATGAAGTGGACAGTACAAAAAGGAAAAATTAAAGGCAGGAAGGCTGAATTGGAAGCCTAATACAGCAGAGGAGGAGAAGAATGATGATTTCCTGGACTAAGTTGTTAGTGGTGATATTAGGAAGTGGTCAGAACTGATGTATAGGTTTTTCTGTGTATACTTTATACTACTTTTCTCTGTAGTATAGAGGGATGGGGAAAAGAAAAACAGGTTGTTTTTTTTTTTTTCTGGAGAAACAAAGACATGGATAGTAAAAGAAGTAAAGAAGTTCCATGAGTTCTAGGTCAAACTGACTGAAGAATTTTTAAGATCCCTTTTTCGATCACAACTATAAATCAAATTAACTATGTCTTTTAAAATAGCTCTTTAAAAGAATGCAAAGAAACAAATACTGTGAAAAAAATCATACTACAATATTATTTGTGGTAGCATAAGACTTCGAGTAGTAATTGACTTGTGCAAATTAAGTCAAATCATTTAGCATTTTATTTATGTAGTACCCTCAAAGCATATGAGTTCATGAAACACATATCAAAGAAGTTTTCCCTGGCTTCTAGAATGTTTTTAAGACTTATGATTTATAGCATTTATATACTAGTAGCAATAGTGACTAATTGTATGTTATTATCTGTATTTTAAATGATCTATTATACTTTGGTTATTTTCTGTCCTGAGGTCAAAAAGTGACTACTACAGGTAAAAGAATGAATCAGTGATACCAAGCTACATAAAAGATTAGGTTCAGTTTTCTACTGAAGAGTTCCCAGTATAATTTAAGCACCCAAGTGTAGCAAGTAAAATTTTATAAGTGATTACTCAAAAAGCCACAATGAGTTGTGTTGGTTCTGCTATAAAACATTTTGTACTTAATGACTCAGTATTAAATGATCTATTTTGAAGTAAATGTGGTTTTTTTAAGAATTTTATATTTGATTTTATTTATTATTTTTAAATTTGCTACAAAACATACATGCACCCTACAGAGAGACAGAGAGAGAGGGAGAGAGAGAAAGCGAGAAAACCAGCCATCAGGTCTGGGGCTTAAACCACAGTAGACCATGTGGGAGCCCAGCAACTTAATCACCATGCCACTTGTCAGCCCCGGAAATGTGATGTCTTAACAATGATTACAAGTCATCATTTAATAATTCCAAGCAGCAAAAAAATAAGTTAGAATGCAGCATAATAAAATTATTTTTATATACTGATTAGTAGAGAAATAATGCAAAGAATTAAACAAAAACAACTAAGTTTTCAAAGTTACTCATAATTACTGTCTATGTTATGGCATACAGAACAAATAAACAATTAAAAAGTTCTTGGCTTGATATGTTTTAATCATGTATATATAAGACTCAAAATTAAGCATTTTTAAAGCATTTTTAGTAGTTAGGAGTTTATTTACTTTAACCTAGCTAGTTTGAAAAGCAGTAAACCATACTTTGTGTACTTACTGCATGTCAAATTACAATTAAATATGAACTTTTTATAAATAATGGTAGCAACAATAAAATTAAATACTTGTCATAATTATGCCATTTACTGGTCCCAATAGAATTTTTTTAGTTTGATCTTATATGCTAAAGAATAACAAATGGCATAATGGCTATATCGAACTGCAGTCTCAATGTAGCCTAGTCCTGGTAGAAATTTTTTTTTTTTGGAGAGGTTTTTACTATACGACGCGTGTGCTTTGCCAGACAGAGAGAGACAGAGAGACTCTGGCCATGCCACAGTCCCTTCTCCTCTCAGGATCTTAGGCACGCACACACACATGCCCAGCATGAGTTTTAAGCCACCGGGTCCAGGACTTGAACCACGGTCGACTACATGGGAGTCCAGCGACATAGCCATTATAATAACTGCTGGTTCGCAGTCTGGTAGAATTTTTTGAGTTTGATCCTATATACTAAAAACGGACATATTCTAAAGACATACTTAGTTTAAACATACTAGCTAGAAGGTGGATAATTATGACAAGTATTTTTTCTTCCTCTTTCTTTCTTTCTCTTTCTTTCTTTCTTTCTTTCTTTCTTTCTTTCTTTCTTTCTTTCTTTCTTTCTTTTTCTTTTCTTCCTTTCCTTTCCTTTCTTTTCCTTTCCTTTCCTCTCCCTTTCTTTTCTTTTCTCTTTTCTTTCTTTTCTTTTCTTTTCTTTTCTTCTTTTCTTTTCTTTTCTTTTTTCTTTTCTTTTCTTTTTTTTCCTGTGCTAGAGGATGTGTGTGCTCACCAGGAAGAGGCACAAAACACAAGGAGAAAGAACATCCCCTATGGGGAATTGGTCACCCATGCACCAGTATCTGGCATATTTCTTAATCCCACAGGTCCAGGATTAGAACAGGGTGGCCAGCCACAAGTGCCGCAGCTGCATTACGCATAGGCCACGGTGTCAGCCCTAAACTACTTTTTAAAGAAGAACCTAATCAATTCAGTAAGCCCTTGATAGCAATGAAACACAGTTCCTCACTAGAGTACTAACTGGTAAAGGAAGGTTTCCTTTCATTGAGAAAAGTATGCATGAATGTGTTACTTTTGGGTGAATTTGTTTGTTTATTTTAAGTGATCTTGTTCCTAATTTGATGCAGTAATAAAAGGTTTCTGGGTAGCTTGGATGTCTCCCCTAGCTGGCAAAACTCTCATTTATACAAAAGCTCTCCTTGTTGTCTCTTTAGAGTAATCCCTGTGTCTTATTCTCTTTTCCGGATAGGAACTGTCAGTGCTGGGTCTCTGGCTAAGGATCACACATGAGCTATGAAGTCTTCAGCCCTAGCTGGAACTGTGAAGAAGGCTGGGAAGTAGGGAGCAGATAATCCTTTTGAATAGTGGAATAGGATGGCATCATAGCAGTTACCCAATAGTTCCATAGCCCCTGCTCCACCTGAGGTCCATCCTGCCTTAGAGGGATAAAGTTCTTGTATAGGGACCTGCTAGTTTTCAGCTCATATGAATAGTGTAGCACTGGCAGCCATTATGCACAATCAAGCAACATACTATTATTTCCATGTTACATATGAAAAAAATGATGACTTCATCAATAAACTCACAGTCTGGTTCCAATCCTTTATTCCTTTTTTTACTTTTTAAGTCAGCCTTAAATGCTCTTATATTTTTGTAGGTGAGCTGTTTCTAAATATTTTGGGGAATTTTTACAACCATCATTCAAAATGAATAATTTTCCAAAATGTCTTTCCCTTGACTGAACACATTTAAATGTAATGACCGTTCATTACTAAATGTAGACAATAAGTCTCCCGTAACTGATACACACTTTGTCATGTCTAGACTCTACTTTATAGCAGGTTTAGGGTTTTGAAAACTGTATTTATTTGATAATATGGTTCTGAGTTTCTATTCATTCCTTTGACAAATATTTGCTGAGCACTTTCTCTGTGGCTGGCACTGACATGGGAAATGCAGATGATACAAAGCTTCACATGATTTATGAGACAGTGTCTCTGGCTTTTGTGGAAAACAGTCT